ACACAGCAAATATGTGGAAGAAGGTGCTCTGGTCAGATTAGACTAAAATTAAATTTTTTGGCCTAAAAGCTATGTGCAGCATAAAACTAACACTCCACATACACCCTGAACACACCATCCCCACTGTGAAACATGCTGGTGGCAGCATCATGATGCGGGGATGATTTTCTTCAGCAGGGACAGGAAAGTGTATTTTGGAGTTCTATGGGAGATGGGTGGAGCCAAATACAGGACAATCTTAGAAGAAAACCTGCTAGGCAGTCTGCAAAACAGACAGTTGCGACAGGGGCTGAGTTTCACCTTCCAGCAGGATGCGGGGGAATTTATCTATCAGCAGGGAACAAAAGTTACCATCGGAGTTTTATGGGAAGATGGGTGGAGCCAAATACAGGAGCATCTTAGAAGAAACCTGTTAGAGTCTGCAAAAGAGTTGCGACAGGGGCGGAGGTTCACCTTCCAGCAGGACAATGACCAAAAAACTACCTCTCCAGAGCTACAATGGATTGGTTTTGCAATCACAGCATATTCAAGTGTTAGAATGGCCCAGTAAACAGTCCAGACCTAAATCCAATTGAGAATCTGTGGCAAGACAGCCGCTCTCCATCCAATCTGACAGAGCTTGAGGCTATTTTGCAAAGACAAATGGACAAAAATGTGCCCGCGCTAGATGTGCAGAGCTGGTAGAGACACCCCCAAAAAGACTTGCAGCGAAAAGCTGGTTCTACATAAGTATTGACTCTCCGGGGGGCTGAGTACAAAATGCTCTGACTCGCCACACCTTTCGATATTTTATTTGTAACAAACTTTATTGTAAAACCATTTACACACCATTTTCCTTCCACTTCACAATTAGTGCCATTTTGTCTTGGTCTATCACATAAAATTTTTTAGAACACATGACCCTGCTTTAAACCTCTCTACAAACTTTATCCCTGACCTGTCTGGTGTCTTGGCCTTCATAATGCTGTTTTGTTTACCAATGTTCTGTAACAAACCTCAGAGGGCTTCACAGAACAGCTGTATTTATACTGAGATTAAATTACACACAGGTAAACTCCATTTACTAATTAGGTGACTTTTGAAGGCAATTGGTTCCACTAGATATAAGTTAGGGGTAAGAGTAAAGAGGATGAATACAAATGCTAACGCCACAGTTTTTCTCTGATATTTACTTGTAAAAAAAAATTTTTTTAAAACTAATTTATCAATTTCCTTTCACTTCACAATTATGTAACACTTTGTGTTGGTCTACTCACTAAAAATGGAAATTTTCCCAATAAAATACATTTGAGATATCTTTTTTCAAGAGCACTTTTTGGTTGTAACATGACAAAATGTGAAAAATTTCAAGGGGTGTGAATACTTTTTCAAGCACTGTAGTTCTTCCTCAAGTGCATAAATTTCCCCTTTTGGGATTTTCATAAATTAACTATTTAGATGACAACTGGTGTTTGGGTGTAAACTTTTACAATCCACTTTGTGTAAAGCTTAATGGCGTCTCTCCAAAGCTGGATTTGCAGAAAGGATCACCCCACTGGCAATGAGAATGAAGGGAGCGGCGTCAGACGGCACAGCTAGCACGGTGCTGAGGTCACTCCATACATCCAACATGCTGGACTCCCAGGGTTGGTCTTGAAACCGAGTCCACATACTCTTATCTCATCCTGTTACTATCTACTATTTGTAAAAAGTTTTATTCTCAATAAAGATATACAAATCGAAAAAATAATTCTACAAATCGATTAAAAAAAAAATGCCGCACACCCAGTGCTCCTCCCCCAGGCTCACCCCACTGCTCATGACCTCCACCTCCCGCCCGGCTCGGCTCCTGCGGATGGCTTTCATACCCAGGTGTACTTGACTCTTTCCATCTGGTGGTGTGCTCTCTGCCTCCCCCCCCCCCATCAGCACATCTGGCCCGTTATCCCCATCTTCCTTGCACTCTCCAGGGAAGGACATTGGCAATGGGAGGGCCAACAGAGCTCCACCAGGATCTGCCTTTCTGCTTCAGTGCCCAGGATTGACCTCCCCTTGGGGTGCAGCACTGAGGATGGGGAAGGACCATTAGCTGCACCAAGCTGTCAAGGCTGAGGACCTTGGCATGGTAAAAAATCTGCTTCAGATGCCCAAGGTGGGCAAAGCCAGTGAGTACACCCATCTACCCACAGACCTATCTACCTGCAGTAATGATGATGGGTGTAATGGGGTCAGTCATTGGATAATGAGATTATGCTGGGGAGGGAGGGGGATCATGACAGGCTGGGGCAAGGGATGGACTGGCCACTCGGCTACTAAGAACCTGTTGCCAGTAGAGGTCCCATTCCTGGCATCCCACATAACCAGACCAGAGTCTTGGAGCCCAGTGCCGCCATTTGGCTCTGCTAATTCACGTCCCACTGCAGGCGCGAGTACACTGTGGGGGATTACACTGGGGGAGTTTCAGGGATGGATCTACACTGGGGGGATTACACTAGGGGGGTTATGGGGGGATTTTAAATGGGTGGATTACACTGCTGGGAGAACACTGGGGGAATTTACACAGAGGGGATTATTACTCTGGGGGGATTTACACAGGGGATTACACTACGAGAAATTTACATTAAGTATTTCAGGTACTTGTATAGCACCATCAATTAATGCAGAGCTTTACACATATACATTGTACATTCACATCAGTCCCTAACCCTCAAGGGGTGTACAATCTAAGGTCCCTAGAGGACATCCATACATACACATACTAGGACCAATTTAGACAGAAGTCAACCTACCAGTATGTCTTTAAAGTACATGGGGAGGATTAACACTGGGAGGATTATACTTGTGGGATTACGCTGGGGGCATTCACACTTGAGGGAGTACACTGTGAGGATTACATTGGGGGAGTTACAGGAGTCGGGGGGAGGGGAGAGACTTACACTGAGGGGATTACACTGCTGGGAGTGCACTAGGTGGATTTACACTAAGAGGGATTTAAATAAGGGGGACTACAGTGTTACTACGGGGGGCGTGGGGGATTTACACCAGGAAGATTATGGTTGTGAAATTACGCTGGGAACATTCACACTTGGGGGATTACACTGGAGGGAGTACACTACGCAGGGTACACTGAGATTAACTGGAGGAATTTACACCAGGGGAATAGCAGTGTACAGTACGTGCTGGGGCAATTTGGAAGGGGAGAGGATTTGTGCTGTGAGGGAAGGATCCCAATACTAAATATATGGGGATGTCTCTTTGCTTGATTGTGCTGTCTATTATATTGATTGTGCTGCTCAATAGATTAACCCCGATGTCTCTTTGCTGAATTTATGGGGATGTCATTTTACTGGATTGGGACCTTTTTTGAATATATGGGGATGTCTCTTTACTGGATTGTGCCGTCTCTTTGCTTAATATATGGGGCTGTCTTGTTGGGCAAAATATTATTCCTTACTGTTAAATCTTGAAAGCACAGATGACTTGGAATACACTTTTCCTTTGCATATATTAAGTTATAAGAATGTTAAAATAAAAGTGGGTGCACTGAAGGACTCGGTGGGATGACTAGTGGACAGATTCAGTGGGACATTCAGTCGGCTGGCCTCAGGGAATGTTGGTGGTCAGGCCCAGGGGCCCAGGTTTAAAGCTGTGTAAAGGGCCCCAAAATTTCTGAAGGCATCCCTGCATATAATATATATCGTGTTGTGGATCCCAACCATGGCACTACCTGCCTGGAGTTTGCATGTTCTCCCTGTGCCTGTGTGGGTTTCCTCCGGGTACTCCGGTTTCCTCCCACACTCCAAAGACATGCTGGTTGGTTAATTCGCTCCTGTCTAAATTGTCCCTAGTATGTGTATGTATTAATGTAAGTTAGGGACCTCAGATTGTACAAACCCCTTGAGGGTTAGGGACTGATGTGAATGTACAATATATATATGTAAAGGAGCTGCGTAAATTGACAGCGCTATATAAATACCTATAATAATAATAATATCTTTAGCCCTGCCTCAGGCAAGCAGCAGGAAATAGAGCTGATGGTTCGCTTTCTTGTATAAGAAATCCGAGCGGCTAATTAGCCACTTGATCACTTTTACAATGAGGGGACACCCTTCCGTGAGCTGTCCCGTCGCACCAGGACCACCCGATCAACCATCTGACACTTCCGCCGGCTGATCATAAAGGCGTACAAAGACCGGAATCGCTCTGTTCACCTCTATACAGTACATTACTTCCAGTTTACCAAGATGTAAAAGATTCCATTTTAAAAATGGAAAGCATTTGATCACCCCTATCTAGTGTGATCAAATGCTTTTAAGGGCAGAGGAGGGATCTTGGGTCTTATTGACCCCAGATCTCTCGATAAAGAGCACCTGTCACTGCCTATTGCTGTCACAAGGGATGCTTACATTCCATGTGACAGCAATAAAAGTGATAAAAAAAGAAAAATTAAAAACGACAGAGTTAAAAATATAAGTAATTGAAAAAAATTTTAAAGCACCCCATCCCTGCACACAAAGGTGAATGTATGTGTTGGTCCTGCACATATGCAAAAAGAAAATCGGCCCATACATGTGATGCATCACCGAGAATGTCAAATCATAGGTAGTAATTCCAGCACCAGACGTCCTCTGTAAAACTAAGGTGGCAACCTGTGAAGGCTTTCAAAGCATCGCCTATGGATAATAAAATGTATATTTATTGCCGCTGCACAGGTGTACGCACTTTTAAAGCGTGACATGTTGGGTATCTATACTTTTCTCTCCATAAGGCGCACTTTTTCCCCCTAAAAAAGTGGGGGAAAATGTCTGTGCGGCGTCTTATGGAGCGAATATGGAGCTGCCGACCCGGTATTCCCACTGCCGCCGTGTTAGAATACCGGGCCGGCCGCTCTGCTGTACTGTGCAGAAGAACCTGCTCCTCGTTTCTACCAGTTCCCTCGGTCCAGCGGTGTCCAGCTTTAACTGGCCATCTTCTCGGCGCCGGCATCTTCAGAGTGGGCATCCGACCGACAGCTTGCGGCTTCACTGCTGGGTGCCCACTGCGCATGCGCGAGAAGTGCTGCGCTTTGTGAATGGCCACCTGTAGTCTTCTGGAACCTGTCACATGTCCCAGAAGACTACAGGGAGGGAGTGGGGGAGGACAACTCTGTGGAAGTGGGAGCGGGTACCTGTCAAATTCGGGTACTCGCCAACCCCCCCCCTTCCGCTCCCCAAAGGTCTGCAGTCTCTGGTCATCTCCTGTACTATGTTCGCAGTCTCTGATCATCTCCTGTACTGTGTCCGCAGTCTCTGGCCATCTCCTGTACTGTGTCCGCAGTCTCTGGTCATCTCCTGTACCGTGTCCGCAGTCTCTGGTCATCTCCTGTACTGTCCGCAGTCTCTGGTCATCTCCTGCACCGTGTCCGCAGTCTCTGGTCATCTCCTGTACCGTGTCCGCAGTCTCTGGTCATCTCCTGTACTGTCCGCAGTCTCCGGTCATCTCCTGTACTGTGTCCGCAGTCTCCGGTCATCTCCTGTACTATGTTCGCAGTCTCTGGTCATCTCCTGTACCGTGTCTGCAGTCTCTGGTCATCTCCTGTACTGTGTCCGCAGTCTCTGGTCATCTCCTGTACTGTGTCCGCAGTCTCCGGTCATCTCCTGTACTATGTCTGCAGTCCATTGGTTCAGAATATTTTTTTTCCTGTTTTCCTCCTCTAAAATCTAGGTGCATCTTATGGAGCGAAAAATTCGGTATACGTTTTACAAAAAAATTGGGTTTAGTATTGTTTTATGCATTAGAATTCAAAAAAGTGTATTTTTTTCCAAAAAAAATGCGTTTGAAAAACTGCTGCGCAAATATTATGTTACATATAAAAATTCACCCACCAAATATAAAACCCACCAATTTATTCTCTAGGGCCTCTGCTTTATAGAATTATATAAAGTTTGGGGGCTCTAAGAAATTTTCTAGCAATTTAAGTCACCATAAATCCCCAGACTTTCCTAAAAACACTGCTGACTAATAAAATACATCAACACTTCATATTTTTTATCCTGGCAAAAATTGTTGTTGTTTTTTTAGCAGGATAAGTAGATTGTCATTAGGGACAAGTAGATTGGAGTCCCAATTTATTCTTTGGACAAGTAGTTTTTTAGATAATTTCTACAGCCCTGGGTTAGCTCTCTGTCTATAGTCTGTGTTCAGAAAAGTGCATGCAATCGAAGCACCCTGATGAAGTCACGTGACAGTGACGTAACGCATGGGTCTGTTAGCGAAGCATGGTGATGGTCGCCGCCTTTTTGGTACATCCTGGAAGTATAAACCCATATCAATACATGTGTTTGAGGCTTGATTTCAACTGATGTGAAGAAAGTGTTCATTTGGCATTTCTCCATTAAAGTTTTTGCTTTAAAATCACTACACTATGGGAGCTCTCTCTTTTTCCTCTGGGGTGCAACTGAGATGGCTGATGTTCCTGTGAAAAGGATTACCAGTTTCAATACTATTGAAATCATTACGGTTATACGGTGAGGAAGGCCATATTCCTGGGATCGGTGTGATTCTATCATCTTGGAGAACTAATAAGGGCCCTGGGAGTGTGAGGCCTAAAAGCTGTGTGGCCCCTTGGGGTCTTGGCGTGGAGGTGAGGAGGCATTTAAGCCGGTGATGGATCTATCGTTCATTTCACCTAGTTGCTTTGTTCATTTGGAGTTGGTGGTCTATTTACATGGATTTTACTTGCCAATTTGATGATCACTTGTGTTTATTGATAGTCACTCATTATTTGTTATATGTCACGTTGCTTTAATTATTTTTTTTTTGTGCTTATTGATGCACGTTTATTTCCACTGTGCGTTTTTCACTGGCATCAATCCTAATTATAAGGTGCATTATAGTTTCATGCACTTTGTACGATTAGTTTTGCACATATATTTTTTTTGCTTTTTGTTTTAACATGCACTGTTCAGTTTTCATCAAAAGGTAAATACCCGACTTCTGTCATCTCTTCATTTTGGAAGAGAATTCAACATTTACTAAGAAATGTAAATATCTGTAAACATTAAAGTATAACTTAAAACAAAACTTTTTTAGGTTTGGAAAGGGTGGAGAATATTTGTTTACTGTCTGTCTCCCCATTAAGGAGATTTACCCTTCTATTAGTCCTGTTCACCATTGCACCATGTAGTTTGCATAAATAGAAAATAAGTCACACTAAATAAATAGTAATTTCACAAAAAAAAACATGAAAATACCAAATTATTACAGCAATGTGATTAATCAGATTTAATATTTACCTCAGACTCTTGATGTTGTGCAGAGCCGGTATGAGTTTCCTCAATCCTTCACTCTGAATATTACATGAACGTAGATTTACTTCTTCTCTCTCTCTGCAGGATTTAAGGATAAAGGACAGCACAGAGCAGTCCAGAGGGCTGAGGGGGACATCAGAAAAGTCAATGTTGTTTGATCCAATACATTGTGACACCAGAGCCTTATTCCTGCTCTCATGGAGATAGTAGAATACATTAAGAAGATCTCTGCTGTCTGTTATGGATGTGTCAGATCTTTGTTTTGTAGTTTTCTCCTGGATCCAGGTGATGACATGTCTGGCAGCCTGAGCAGACAATTCTCCCACATGAGACTTTAACATGGATCTAGTAGAAGAGTCTGAGAAACCGCAGAGGAAACGGAGGAATATTTCAGCACGGCCATCTTCATAAGATTCAGCCTTATCAAGTGTTTCCTGTAATCTGTCAGCATTATAGTCAATAAAATGGACTAAAGCAGCAAAGAACTCCTGAAGAGTGAGATGTAAGAAGGTGTAATCCACATCAGGAGGCTGACCAGATTCCATCAGGAAAGATGAAAAGAGATGTTTATCATTTCTCACACTGAATGAGTCCAGATGACGCTCATCAAATACAATCATGTGATTCATGACGCCATGTTCTGCCATCCACCCCCATAGATGTCAGTAGTTCCCGAGCAGTGTGACCGCCATCTGTATTCTGGCTGTGATTGGCCAGAATGTTGGAGACAAAAGTCACAAAGAGTTGTGTCACTGTTTTGGGTAATGATGTCATCAGCTGATCAGTGATTGTTGGTTGGGCTCTGAAGCACATTGATAACACTGTACAGATGATCCAGCAGTATGCTGGGATATAACAGAAAGTGTACAGCGTGTCATTCTCCTGCACATAATGAAAAGCCTTCTCTGACCATTCCTCATTTCCAAAGAAATTATTGAAGAAGATCCGTCTGTCTTCATGGAGAAATCCCATGATCTCCGCTATTCTCTGGAAACACATCGGTATAAACTGATGTCAGTCTGGTTGGGCGGCTGGTCATCAGTACAGAGCAACCCTTAAGAAGACTCTGCCTCACCAAACTGACCACAATCTCACCAAAATTCATCCTGTAAGCAAAAAGTCTACTTGATCTGAAATCCAATCCATTTGGTGAATACTTTCATCTAAGCCATCAAATATAAACAGAAGTCTCTCTGGATCCTGTAAAATATCTCCAATCTGACTCTTCAGATACGGATATTGTTGAAGAATCATCTCCTCCAAGCTGACCTCTCCCAGTCTATTAAGGTCCCGGAATCTGAAGAAGAAGACAAAGGCAAATCTCTGGTAGTGTTTTCCGGTCACCCAGTCATAGACAAACTTCTGCATCAGTGTGGTCTTCCCTATTCCTGGCACTCCGCTCACCATTACTGCATGTGGTACACGTTGTGACTGTGACTGGAGGTTCAGTCGGAACAGCTTGTTGGGGGAAATATGTTCCAGTCCAGTTTGTGATTTCTTCAAGCATTCCTCATGTTTTACCCCGGTCTGTATTATCTCATTCTGGGGACGCTGCCGGAACTGATCAGTGGAGACTACAATCAGCTTCACATAACGCTCATTGATGAGGAATCTTTGTGGTTCCAGGGTAGTTCCTGGGGGTCTATGCTCCACTAGAGTCTCAGTCTTCTTCATCAGATGATGTTTGTGCTTTTTCTGAATGTCTGGAAATATAATGGACAAATGTTATGACTCAGGTTAAAAATTTATCATTGACTAAGAATGGCAGCAGGGTGGGTGAGCGTTAATGTCCACGTGCCACATCTTTGCGTCTATGGTGCACCTCTGTTCTGTGCTGCAAGCATGCTCACTGTGTGTGCTACCAGCACTCTAACTATTCTGTCACTGACAGCTCTCGCTCGCTGTTTGTGAATGGGAGGTGGTGGTGGGGCCCCCAATCATGTGACTGCTGTTACAGCCAATCACATTGGTCACATGATCAGGAACTCCACCTTTGCTTCCTGTCATTCAGAACTCTTTGTTATGGGGACATACCTGCAGGCATGCTCCTGAGCCATTAGCTCTTTCTGCTGTCATCAAAGCCTGTGAGAGCATGAAGAGAGGATTAAAGTCCTGCAGCTAGGCACAGCACTGGACTGATACCAGACTCAGATAAGTGGTGGGTGGAACAGGCATTGGAAGGTTTATTACCTTAACCCCTTCAATACTGGGGACTTTTACCCTCTTCCTGCCCAGGCCAATTTTCAGCGCTGTTGCACTTTGAATGAGAATTGCGTGGTCATGCAGCACTGTACACATAAGACATTTTTATCACTTTGTTCACACAAATAGAGCTTTCTTTTTCTGGTATTTAATCACCACTGGGATTTTAATTTTGTTCTAAACAATAAGACTGAAAATTTTGAAAAAAAAAGTTTTTCTTCATTTGTTAAAAAATTTTGCAAATAAATAATTGTTGTTCTAAAATTTAGGGCAAAATGTATTGTGCTACATTTCTTTGAAAAAAAAAATCCAAATCAGTGTTTATTATTAGTTTGTTGGCAAGTTATAGAGTCTAACTATGGGATATATATCTGAAAATTGATCAATCCTGATGTACTGACGGCCGATCTCATTTCTTGAGGCCCAAAACTATCAGGACAGTACAAATACCCCCCAAATGACCCCGTTTTGGGAAGTAGACAGTCCGAGGTATTTAGTAAGAGGCATAGTGAGTTTTTTAAGTTGTAATTTTTAGTCATAATTTTTTGGTAAAAAAAAAAAAAAAAAACAGTTATTTTTACATACTGTCACCAGTGCAGTACAGCGTCATCACATAACTGGTATGGCGGTGATCAGGGACACTGAATTTTTTAATTTTTAAAAAAAAATTGTATTACTTTTTATCTCCTTTTTTTTTTTTAATGTTCTTTTCACAACACACTGTGACCAGAGTAGTATAATATTACCATAGTATCATTGTACTACTCTGGGGAAGTGATCAGTATTTTTGTTTGTTTTTTTTGACACATTATGATTGCTCATAGCAATTAATTTCATTGCTATAAGCAAGCATTTTACTGAATAAAATCGATTCATTCAGTTTCTTGTTGTGATTAGCTGTGATTGGTCACAGCTTATCACATGACACAGATGGGCTGTGATTGGCCCAGTCTGTACCATGTGATCACTGTGACCAATCACAGCTAGCAACACAATTGTACACGATGGATGGCATGAAAGGAAGCCATCCATTGCTTCTGTGATTGGTCCCAGTGGTCACATGCTACCAGCAGTGGGCCAGTACACTGATCAGTCATCAGCTTTGTCTGATGGACACAGCTGGTGACAGATTGCATCACAGTGCAGCCCTGTAGGCGCTTGTGAGTCGCAATCCAGGTGGAGGTCATGTGACGTCCACTCAGCC